AGGGAGACACAGAATCCGAAGCAGGCTCCAGGCTCCAAGCTGTCAGCCCAGAGCCCGGCCTGGGGCTTGTACCTATGAACTGGGGGATCATGACCTGAGCCGAAGTCGGTGGCTTAACCCACTGAGCCACCCAGGTGCCCTCATATCATGCTTTTTTTTTTTTTTTTTAATTTTTTTTCAACGTTTACTTATTTTTAGAACAGAGAGAGACAGAGCATGAATGGGGGAGGGGTAGAGAGAGGGAGACACAGAATCGGAAACAGGCTCCAGGCTCTGAGCCATCAGCCCAGAGCCCGATGCGGGGCTCGAACTCACGGACCGCGAGATCGTGACCTGGCTGAAGTCGGACGCTCAACCGACTGCGCCACCCAGGCGCCCCATATCATGCTTTTAAGTCAAGGCAGAACCTGGCAGTGTGTTTTCAAGCCATATCTGAGCCTGATGCAAAAGGAAACGGGTGTAGGCTCTAGCCACATTCTAATGCAATTTTATTTTTATTTTTATTAAAAAAATTTTTTTTTCAACGTTTATTTATTTTTGAGACAGAGAGAGACAGAGCATGAATGGGGGAGGGGCAAAGAGAGAGGGAGACACAGAATCGGAAGCAGGCTCCAGGCTCTGAGCCATCAGCCCAGAGCCTGACGCGGGGCTCGAACTCACGGACTGCGAGATCGTGACCCGGCTGAGGTCAGACGCTTAACCGACTGCGCTACCCAGGCACCCCTCTAATGCATTTTTAGTTTTTGATGGCATAAAGTGTTTGCAGCTTAGGCTTTTATTTCTAATGTATTTTTTAAATGGTTCTATTCCAAATAGATTTTGAAAATCTCATTGCTGAGTTTGCTTCCATGAAAGCTAGGAGAGTCTGATGATAATAAATTCTTTTTTTGGGGGCGGGGGGGTGGGGGGAGGGGAGTGGTACAAATGAAATAAACTTAGAATAATTCATGAGTTTTAATAACTTGGTTTTTCAGTATTTTTTTCAACTATGTTAATAGTGTGGAAAAAATTAACCATGGAAATACACAAAAGTGGGGCGCCTGGGTGGCTCAGTCGGTTAAGCGGCCGACTTCAGCTCAGGTCACGATCTCATGGTTCGTGAGTTCGAGCCCCGTGTCGGGCTCTGGGCTGACGGCTCAGAGCCTGGAGCCTGCTTCCGATTCTGTGTCTCCCTCTCTCTCTGCCCCTCCCCCGTTCGTGCTCTGTCTCTCTTGGTCTCAAAAATAAATAAACGTTAAAAAAAATTAAAAAAAAGAAATACACAAAAGTGTTTTGAACCTTTTGCCTCAGGCTCCACTAGGCACAGTTGGAATCTTTGTTTAAAATCTTGATATTTTGTTCACTATGAATTATTTGCATTAATTTTGGTTTGACGAATGCATTGAAATATTATTTACCTTCATTGCTGAGGGTTTTTTTTGGCACCCCTTTAAACTTTGCATAGCCTAATCCCTGAGCCAGTGCAGTGGTCCATATGCCCCATGCAAGGGTACCCGCTTTGCTTTTGGGGCTGACTCAAACGCTACCTTCAAATTAAGTATATCCCTTCCTATTTACAATTGCCCCCAAGTTTAATTTTTTCATGTTTATTTATTTTTGAGAGATAGAGTGAGAGAGAGAGAGGCAGACGGACAGAGGGAGACATAGAATCTGAAGCGGGCTCCAGGCTCTGAGCTGTCAGCACAGAGCCCGACGCGGGGCTTGAACTCATGAACAGCAAAATCATGCCCTGAGCTGAAGTCAGATGCTTAACCAACTGAGCCTCCCAGGCACCCCTCTGCCACTTAGTATATTATGGTTTTGGGCAAGCTATTTAGCGTCGTACTCCCAAGTTCCCTTTTTAAAACCGGGGTATTCATAGCGACGAATTCACTATGCTTTTGTGAGGCTTCAATGAGACGATATGAGTCATGAGCTTGGAATGACCACTGGATCATTCCATTCCATTCCATTTTGATACAGGTTTACAACATAGACTGTGTTCTGTAACACTGGCTTGCAGTGAGATGAGCTTCAGTCATTTTGTTACCACCATCATAGTTGGGGAGCTGGCGATCCAGTAGGTACTCTGCTAAACGCTTGATACATAATGCTTCATCCAGCCATGCCCATTTTATACTAAAGAACACTGAGGCACAGAGAGAGGGGGAGACTCATCTCCAGGTGCCCCCCCCCCCCCAGCTCCTCGGTGACAGAACCAGGATTTGAGCCCGGGCACTGTGATGTGACTCTGGTCACACTCCCTTAAACTTTTTGTGAGCAGGTAGCAGGGCGAGTGCGTTCTCTAGGAAGGAAACACCTGCCAAGATCCCTAGTTCTTAGGAGGTGGGGGGACCTTCCCACACTCAGGCCTGACACGCTGGCCACTGTCTTTAATACCAGAGCTCTCTTTTTTCTTCCCCAGAAGTTTACGCCAAGCCCTCGCTTTCAGCCCAGCCTGGCCCGGCCGTATCCCCAGGAGGGGATGTCACTCTACAGTGTCGCAGCCAATACGGTTTTGACCAATTTGCTTTATACAAGGAGGGGGACACTGGCCCCTACAAGGGACCCGAGAGGTGGTACAGGGCCGATTTCCCCATCATCACAGTGACTGCTGCCCACAGTGGGATCTACCGATGCTACAGCTTTTCCAGCCGACACCCATACCTGTGGTCAGCCCCCAGCGACCCCCTGGAGCTTGTGGTCACAGGTGAGGGAGGTGCAGACCCCGCCTTTCTTCCGCAGCCCTTGCAAACTCTGCTGGAAGTTCCAGGGGGAGGGACCAGCAGGTGCACAGGAGGTGGGAGACCAGCAGAAGTCTGAGGCTTTGGAGGGTGTATTTGTTTCCTAGAGCTGCCTTAGCAAATCACCACTAATCCACTGGTTTAAAATAGCCCAAATGAATTTATTTGTAATGTGTATTTATTTATGGGGGGGGGGAAGGAGAGAGAGAGAGAGAGAGAGAGAGAGAGAGAGAGAGAGAGAGAGAATAAATACAGAGCAGGCTCCGCACTGCCAGCACAGAGCCTAAGGCGGAGCTTGAACTCACGAACTGTGAGACTGTGGTCTGAGCCGAAATCAAAAGTCAGACTCTCAGCCGACGGGGCCACCCAAGTGCCCCCCACAAATGTATTATCCCCTTACGCTTCTGGAGATCAGGTCCCAAATGGGTCTCACTGGGACAAAACAAAGCCGTCAGCTGGGCTGTGTTCCTTCCAGAGGCCCCAGGGAGGAATCTCTCCCCTGCCTCTTCCAGCTGTTAGAGGCCCCTGCATCCCTTGGCTCCCGTGGTCCCTCCCTTTATCATGCTTTATCAGTGCAGCATCTTCAGTCTCTGACTCCTTCAGTCTGACTCCTTCAGTCTCAGACTCTTCAGTCTGCCCCTGTCCCCCTTCTGCTTCCACTTTTAAGGACACTGCAATTACACTGGGTCCACCTGGATAATCAGGATAACCTCTGCCCCCCGACATCCTTAAGTGCACCTGCAAAGTCCCATTTACCATGCGAGGTGCCGTATTCACAGATTCTGGGGGTTAGGACATGAGCATATTTGAGAGGTTGTTATTGTCTCTACTACAGAGTATATACATTAGAAAAAATAATTCTTCATACTACAGAGAATGCCTTGTGTCTCATCTAGGTTTCAAAACAAACTTAAAACACACACACACACACACACACACACACACACACACACACACACACAAGTAGCAGCAAAAAACACAGGGAAGTGACTTAAAAAATGTCCGTGTTCCAGGAAGGAAACTTTGACTCCCTTCACACAGGTACCTTCCTTTCAGCCTTTCTTATTCGTAATAGTCGAAGTGGAAGGTATCTTTACGACAAAGCCTGCCGCTAAGCCCTTTGCCTCAACTGATGCAAACGTAAAAACCATTGTTGATATTCTATGTTCACTACTGTTTTATGGTTATGTGCCTTCCCAAGTATCGAAGCAACTGAATTATTTAAAGTTGGTTTATCTATCTATCATCTATCTATCTATCTACCTATCTATCACCTATATTTAAATTCAAGTTAGTTAACATACAAGGTAGTCTTGGCTTCAGGAGGAAACTCAGTGATTCATCTCTTACTTATGACACCCAGTGCACATCCCGAAAAGTGCCTTCCTTAACACCCATTTATTAAAAAAAAAAAATCTCTGGGACGCCTGGGTGGCGCAGTCGGTTAAGCGTCAGACTTCAGCCAGGTCACGATCTCGCGGTCCGTGAGTTCGAGCCCCGCGTCGGGCTCTGGGCTGATGGCTCGGAGCCTGGAGCCTGTTTCCGATTCTGTGTCTCCCTCTCTCTCTGCCCCTCCCCCGTTCATGCTCTGTCTCTCTCTGTCCCAAAAATAAATAAACGTTGAAAAAAAAAAAAGTCTCTAATAATCTCAAGCCCCATCATGGGGCTTGAACTCACCACTGGGAGACCAAGAGTTGTGTCCTCTTCTGACTGAGCCAACCAGGCACCCGGCAACTGAACTGTTTAAAATGCCCCAATGTACAAAAGACTAATGATTCTATCTATTAGCGAGGGGAAAATTCTTCTCCTTCTGGTCTTCAGTGGATGAATAAAGTTAGTACAGGGTAAAATGAAAACGTATTTGTACTCAGACTTATTTTCATTGAAATCTAGCTAGTGAGGTCATTATTCACTACAAATTGCCTTCCATTCTTTTTTTTTTTTTTTTTTTTTTTTTTTTTTTAGTTTAAATTTTAGTTAACATACAGTGCAATATTGGTTTTGGGAGCAGACTTTAGTGATTCATCACTTACAACACCCAGTGTGCATCCCAGCAAGTGCCCTTCTTAATATGCCCATCAGCCGTCTAGCTCATCCCCCACTAACCTCCTTCCATCAACCCTGTTTGTTTTCTATCGTTAAGAGTCTCTTGTGGTTTGATTCCCTCTTCTCTTCCCTCACCCCTTTACCATCTGTTCATCTGTTTTGTTTTTAAATTCCACATATGAGTGAAATCACAGAGTATTTGTCTTGCTCTGATGGACTTGTTTCACTTAGCATCATACACTCTAGTTCCATTCATGTTGTGGCAAATTCTTTTTTTTTTTTTTTTTACAGCTGTGTTATTGAGGTATGGCTTTTAGACCTAAAAGGTTACCCCTTTTGGGACGCCTGGGTGGCTCAGTCGTTAAGTGTCTGATTTTGGCTCAGGTCACGATCTCACGGTTCATGAGTTCGAGCCCCGTGTCAGGCTCTGTGCCGACAGCTGGGAGCCCGGAGCCCGGAGCCTGCTTTGGATTCTTCTTCTTTTTTTTTTTTTTAATAATTTTTTTAATGTTTATTTATTTTTGAGACAGAGAGAGACAGAGCATGAACAGGGGAGGGGCAGAGAGAGAGGGAGACACAGAATCGGAAACAGGCTCCAGGCTCCGAGCTGTCAGCACAGAGCCTGACGCAGGGCTCGAACTCACGGACCGCGAGATTGTGACTTGAGCCGAAGTCGGCTGCCCAACCGACTGAGCCACCCAGGCGCCCCGCCTGCTTTGGATTCTGTGTCTCCCTCTCTCTCTGCCCCTCCCCTGCTCCTGCTCCGTCTTTCTCTCTCTCAAAAATAAATAAACATTAAATTTTTTTTTAAAAGTTACCCTTTTTAAGTGTCCGTAGTTTTTAGTAAGTTCATGGAGTTGTCCAACCATCACCACAACCCAGTGTTAATCCATTTCCATCACCTCTGAGGGGTCTCCGGAGCCTGTTTGCAGTCGTTCTAGTTCTATAAATCTGCCTTTTTTGGGGGGGGAGGGGAGTTTCACAAATATGGAGTCCTATAGCACGCAGCCTTTTGTGACTGGCTTATTTCACTCAGCCTGATGTTTGTGAGTTTCGTGCGCATTGTAGCAGGTATCCGTCTTTCATTGCTAAAGCGTGCCGCTTTCCAAAGAGGACAGCGTAGTTCATAAAGAAAATGGGGTATATAACACACAATGGAAGAGCTGTCACGCAGCCTTAAAAAGGAAGGCGATCCTGGCATGTGCTCCAGTATGGATGAGCCTGGAGGCTGTCACACCATGTCAAGTAAGCCAGTCGCACCAGGACATATACTGTCTGGTTCCACTCACGTCAGGCATCTAACAATAGCATCATAGAGGCGGAGAACGGAAAGGGGGTTGGCAAGTCAGGCGAAGAGACAAGGGGAGTTAGTGTGCAATGGGCACAGAGTTTCGGTTTGGACAGATGAAAGAGTTCTGAGATTTCCCGCACGACAATGTGAATGTACGTAATACCACTGACTACACACTTAAACGTTTAAGATGGTACATTTAACGCTAAGTGATTGTAACTGCCCTTAAAATAACACGAACATTCAAAGGAAGACACTTCTGCGTTTTTGCTGTAATACTCAGGGGCATTTTCTTCTAAGTATTGGTATCCTTTCCCACCACATGCCTCCTACCACATCTTTTTTTTTTTTTTTAATGTTTATTTTTGAGAGAGAGAGAGAGAGAGAGAGAGACAGAGAGAGAGAGAGAGAGAGAGAGAGAGAGAGAGAGAGAGAGAGAGAGACGGAATCTGAAGCAGACTCCAGGATCTGAGCTGTCAGCACAGAGCCTGACATGGGGCTCGAACCCACGAACCATGAGATCATGACCTGAGCTGAAGTCAGACGCTCAACCCATTGAGCCACCCCGGTGCCCCTCCTTTAACTTTTTTAACTAAACAAACGTACAAATGGAGATATAAGGGACGCGTCACACTGTATAAGATGTCAGAGCAAGATGACTTGATACATTTATATATTGCAACACGATTACCGCCGGAGCATTAGCTAACCTCTCCATGCCCTCACATAATTGCCTTTGCTTCTTTGTGGCGAGACTATTAAAGAACTAACCTCTTGGCAACTTTTCTGTAACGCGGTGCTGCTGACAGTAGGCTGTGCATTAATCTCCAGGAGGTATGTTTACCTACTGGTTGTGGTTTGCAAGACTTTATACCTTTGCCCTCTTTTGAGCGTTTGGCAAACCACAGCAAGAGGAATCCTTTCAGAAGAGCTGGTCAAAATCAGACGATGGTCATCCCTTTGCTTGACTCCCTGGCACTCACTCCTCTCCAAGCCCCTCCTTTGCCTGATTGCCTGACCTACTGCCCCTCCCTCATTTACTCTGCTCTAGATACGCCAGCATCTTGGTTTTTTTCAAACACTCTTTTTAAATTGAAGAATTGACATACGATAGTGTGTTAGTTTCAGGTGTACAACATAGTAATTTGATACTTGTATGCATTATGCAATGGCCACCACGATAAGTCTGGTTACTGTCTGTGACCATATAAAGTGGTTAGGATAGTATTGACTACATCCTATCTTGCTTTTCCTTGAATATGCAGGCTCGTTATGTCCTCAGGGACTTTGCACTTGCTGGGACACTTTCTCCAGATATTATTTTATTTTTATTTATTTTTAAATGTTTGTTTATTTTTGAGAGAGAGAGAGAAAGAGAGACGGAACCTGAGTGGGGGAGGGGCAGAGAGAGAGGGAGACACAGAATCCGAAGCAGGCTCCAGGTTCCGAGCTGTCAGCACAGAGCCCGACGTGGGGCTGGAACCCACGAACTGTGAGATCGTGACCTGAGCCCAAGTCGGACGCTTAACCGACTGAGCTGCCCAGGCGCCCCGCCCAGATATTCTTACGGCTCATTCCATTTCTCCTTCCGGCCTTCAGTCAAAAGTCCCATTCTTGCCTCTCTGATGCACTCTGCTACCTTCTCTGCCTTAATTTTTCTCCATGGCATCCACACCTGTGCATACATCATACTGATTTATGGTGTTTGTCATCTGTCTGACCCCGCCTCCTGGAACGTGAGCTCCAGAAAGACAGACATAAACTTCTGTTTTCTTTTCCGCTGTATCCCCACCACCACCAATAGCTCCCAGAACATAGCAGGCGCTTAGCAAACATGCACCTGTTTTAGGTGTACAATTCATTGGTGTTTAGTAAATTTACAGAGTTGTGTGGTCACTACCACAATCCACTCGTAGAGTATTTCCACCACCCTGTACCATCCCTCATGGCCATATGCAGGCACTCCCCACTGTTCATCCAGCCCCAGAAAACCACTAATCCTCCTGCCTCTATAGATTTTTCCCTTTTTTGGGTCCCTGTTCACTTATTGCTTTTTTAATTGCATATATTTCAAAAGTGCCTATGCTGTGGCTGGTGCTTTGCTGGGGACTGCTTGAAACTCTATATGGTATTTCTCTCTCTCTCTCTCTCTCTCTCTCTCTCTCTCTCTCTCACACACACACACACACACACATATATACAGACAGACACCTAATACTTACATATAGTAATTAGAGCCAACACTCTTCGAGATGCATCCAGCACAACATGTATAGTTGTGACTGTGATGTGCGTTATGAATTAGATGTGGTGCTGTTAGGAGCTAAAGAGGAAGCAGTTTGGGAAGGTTTCTCTGAATAATCAATGTTTGATGTGGATCTCAGGGCAGAGGAAGAGGTAACCAGGTGGGTGGAGTAGTGAGATGGGCTGCAGGCATATAGGGTCGTGTGAGCAAATGTCCTGGGGTGGAAAGGGGCTGTGTCTTGTTATACAGCCATCACCCTTTCTCCCTGTATGTATCGCCTCCCCCGTCCCCACATGTATCCATAGCTTCTGCCTCTTTCTCTGCTTTTCCAGGACACAAGAGTCAGTTTTACTCCAAGGGACGAAGTAAGGTGCAGATCACAGAGATCCAGGAAAAGGGATAGAACAGGGGTTCGAAGAGCAAGGAAGGCAGCTACAGGGGTTGTCATTATTATTAATTAGCCCCCGAATGTGCTAGGTGTGCTATTTAATACCCGTGACAGTCCAGTGATGTGACCTTTCTCATATTCCTTTTCTAGGTGAGGAAACTGGGTCACAGAAATGCTTCATTATTTACTCAGGACCCACAGCTGACACAGCACAGAAGTCTCTCTTTTTCTAATTTCCTAGGGACTTCCGCGACCCCCGGCTGGTTACCCACAGAACCACCTTCCTCTGTGACAGGTAAGTTCTGGAGGATTCATCCTGGTGTCTGGGGTATAGACCCACAGACCCCGTCTTTTCTTTCTCCCCTTTATCTGTATTTCTTAATTTAATTCACTTGTCTCTTTTACACATTTGATATATTTAAAAATTGCTTATTTCTGCCTATAAAGAAGGTGAGTATAATAATATATGTAACGATATTAGATAGGCATTTTAAAAAAATGTTTTTTATTTATTTTTGAGACAGAGAGAGACAGAGCACAAGCAGGGGAGGGGCAGAGAGAGAGGGACACACAGAATCCAAAGCAGGCTCCAAGCTGTCGTACAGAGCCGGACGCGGAGCTCGAACTCAGGACTGTGAGATCATGACCTGAGCTGAAGTCGGATGCTTAACTGACTGAGCCACCCAGGCACCCTTCCTGGACTCTAGTTTTTGAGTCTCTGATTCCATTGGCCAGTGGTTCTCAAAGATTAGGGGGCCTGAGAATCACCTGGAGGTGATCTAGGTTTCTGGACCCCATGAGTTCCTGATTCAGAAGGTCTGCGGTGGGGTCCAATTATGTCCATTTCTGACACTTTTCCAGGTGATACTGATGCTGCTGATCTGGGGATGTCACTTTGAGAACCATTGGATTAAAGTTTGTGTGAGCCATAGTGTGCCCCCATCTTCAAAGGCATCTCAGTGGATTCCAGTGTGTAGGATACCCGCCTGTGCCTTAAGAAATTATACATCAGGCTGTGACATCTCTAGCATTCCCTGTGTGTTGGGGATAGACCCAAATCCCAAGGAATAGAAGCAGGCTGAAAAGAGCCAAGGAGGAGAAGAAAGTGCTGACATGTGAGGTTGAGAACAATATGGGGGCTGTCATGCAAATGAGGCACACTGTGTGTGTGTGTGTGTGTGTGTGTGTTTGTGTGTATTTCTCATTGGAATTTTAAAACTTTTGAGATGTAGGTCCACAAGAAGTTACAAAGACAATACAGAAAGACTTCATGTATCCTTTGCCTACCTTTCCCCGGTGGTTACATCTTGCCTAATTGTAGTTCGACATAAAAACTGGGAACCTGACCCTGACGCAATATTTGTATTCAGTTCTACAGCAATGTATCACATGTATAGATCCGTGTAACCACCACGGCACTCAAGATACAGAACTATTCCATCCTGGAAAGATATCCCTGAGGCCACCCCTTTGTAGTTACACGCACCCTCTCCCCTCCTACCCCTGGCAAGTACTAGCTTGTTCTTCTACTTAATGTCATTTTGGGAATGTTTTGCATAAATGGAAAGGTCCACATAGCATGGAATGTTTTAAGGCTGCCTTTTCTCACTCAGCACGATGATGTGAAGTCCACCCAAGTTATTATGATTATCAACAGTGTGTTCATTTTTATGGCTGAGTAGTATTCCATGATATGCACATACTGCCTGTTTAATCTAAATTCAACCCAAAATTTATTTTTTTAATTAAAAAATTTTTAACGTTTATTTATTATTGAGAGACAGAGAGACACAGAGCATGAGCAGGGGAGGGGCAGAGAGAGGGGGAGACACAGAATCCCAAGCAGGCTCTGAGCTGTCTGCACAGACGTGGGGGTCGAACTCACGAACTGTGAGATCATGACCTGAGCCGAAGTCGGACGCTTAACTGACTGAGCCACCCAGGCGCCCCGACGACCCAAAATTTATTAATGAAACTCACAGGAAGAGAAATAACGGAGAACCCATAATATCCAAGCTCTTTTTATACCACAGATAGGCGAGCGTAAGCTAGGCTTTGATGAGCTGACTCTGCCATAATAAAGGACCTCGGAGACTTTCCCCACCCTCAACAGGAGCTATATATTTATAGGTTGAGGGGTTTTAGGAAATATTTTGGTGCCCATGGAATCGGGAATGTCCCTGGTTAAGAAAATGACCTTAGGGGCGCCTGGGTGGCACAGTCGGTTAAGCGTCCGGCTTCAGCCAGGTCACGATCTCACGGTCCGTGAGTTCGAGCCCCGCGTCGGGCTCTGGGCTGATGGCTCGGAGCCTGGAACCTGTTTCCGATTCTGTGTCTCCCTCTCTCTCTGCCCCCTCCCCCGTTCATGCTCTGTCTCTCTCTGTCCCAAAAATAAATAAACGTTGAAAAAAAAATTAAAAAAAAAAAAAAAAGAAAATGACCTTAGGAGGGAGGGGAGCCTCTTAGGCTCGGAGACTGGTATCAGCTACTGAGCTTGCACAGACCTACTGATCCATTTCTTATGTTTTTAGTTGAGTTGTAAGTCACATACCATGAAATTCATCATACCCACCAGAATGGTAATCAATAATAATAATAATAATGCACAGCAGTGTTGGTGAGGATGTGGAGAAACTGGAACTCTCAGACACTGCTGGTGGGAATAAAAAGAGCCACGGCTGCCACGGAAAATGGTCCAGCAGCTCCCTCAGGAAGAATGACCTTATCACAGAGCTATCACAGGACCCAGCTATTCCACTTGTTGGGATATAGCCCCCCCAAAAATTTAAAAATGAAAGATGTTCATTCACACAAAAACTCGTACATAAATGCTCATAGCAGCATTACTCATAATAGCCAAAAAAGAGGAAATAATGTAATGCCCATCAAGGGATGAATGGATCCATTTCTTACTAAGCCACTGATAGAAAACAACATGTTCTTACAGCCCTTCTGTGTTTGTTTCTCCTCAGTGTCTGTACAAAGTGTGTCAGAGAAAGGGGTTGCAGGAAGCCCAGATATCTCAGAAGGGGTATGGAGTGTAGGGACTCACTGGGAAGACCTGACGTGATCCACTGTCTTATTACCCTCTTGTTTAGAATTCCCAGAAGCCTCCAGGAAACTGAACATCTCATTTATCAACAAAGGCTCCACAACTGGTGAGTAACCAGGCATTCAGAGCCCTGTAGAAAAGAGTATGAGAACTGGTTTCTCTCTCATCATCTAGGGCTGTAGGCTTTTAGTCTGCTTCAGGAAACCACCTGACTTGTCCAAGGAAAATCCTCGGTCTGAGGATCAAGGATGGGATAGAGGTGGGCTCTGAGCTTCGGGACAGAGGAGCATTCTGGATAATGTGGCCGTTTCAAAGATTCCAAGGTTATGATGGGAAGACCATCACTCATTCCTACACACTGCTCTTCTGACTTTGCTGTGGTCCATGTGTGTAATCTTGTTTCCTATTGCTCAGCGCATCCTCTTACTAACGCAGTCCCACACAACATGCTTCCCTCATGCTGTAGTTCTCTTTCCCCTCGCTTTTCCTGGACAAAGTCTCCATTTCCGTAGAGACAGAAAACCTTGGCCGATCCCCTGAGGACAGGTTAGATATCTGTGCTCTACCCAACTCTAGCTCTCTGGTAGACTCCTGAGGCCACCAAGTTCTTTCTAACACCCTGGTGAGATTCTCCACCATCCTTTTTCAAAATAGCCTTCTGGGTTCCTGAAGATGACGAGAAGGAAAAACGGGCAGAAGGTTTATTTGAAGAAATTATAGCTGAAACCTTCCCTAATCTGGGGAAGGGCACAGACATTGAAACCCAAGAAGCACAGAGAACTCCCACTGAATGCAACAAAAGCTGGCCATCGTCGACACATCATCGTCAAATCCACAAAATACACAGAAAAGGAAAGAATCCTGAAAGCGGCAAGGGGAAAAAAAGTCCCTACCCTACAAGGGAAGACATCAGGTTCGCAGATCTGTTCACAGAAACCTGGCAGGCCAGAAAGGAGTGGCAGTGTATATTACATGTGATGAATGCTTGTATAAAATCTGCAGCCAAGAATACCCTATCCAGCAAGGCTGTCATTCAGAATACAAGGAGAGAGAAAGGGTTTCCCAGACAAACAAAACCTGAAGGAGTGAGTTTGTGACCAGTAAACCAGCCCTGCAAGAAATATTAAAAGGGACTCTTTGAGTCGGGGGGGGGGACCCAAAAGTAACAAAGACTACAAAAGGCCAGAGAACATCACCACAAACGTGAAATCCACAGATAACACAATGGTGCTAAATTCGTATCTTTCAGTACTCACTCTAAACGTCAATGGACTAAATGCTCCAGTCAAAAGACACAGGGTATCAGAATAGGGAAGAATACAAGACCCATCTATATGCTGCTTACAAGAGACTCATTTTAGAGCTAAAGACACCTGTATACTGAAAGTGAGGGAATGGAGAACCACCTATCATGCTAATGGTCATCAAAAGGAAGCTGAGTAGCCATACTTCTATCCAACAAACTAGATTAAAACAATTTTTTTAATGTTTATTTATTTCTGAGACAGAGAGAGACAGAGCATGAGAGGGGGAGGGGCAGAGAAAGAGGGAGACACAGAATCGGAAACAGGCTCCAGCCTCTGAGCTGTCAGCACAGAGTCTAACATGGGGCTCAAAGCCACAAACTGTGAGATCATGACCTGAGCTGAAGTCAGATGCTACAGCATCTAAAGTTAACAACCCAGGAAACAACAGATGTTGGCAAGGATGCAGAGAAAGGGGAACCCTCTTGCACTGTTGGTGGGAATGCAAACTGGTGCAGCCACTCTGGAAAACAGTGTGGTGGTTCCTCCAAAAGTTAATAGTAGAACTACCCTATGATTTACAAATTGCACTACTAGGTATTTATCCGAAGGATATAGGAGCGCTGATGCAAAGGGAGCACATGCACCCCGATGTTTATAGCAGCGCTATCGACAATAGCCAAAATATGGAAAGAGCCCAAGTGTCCATCAACTGATGAATGGATAAAGAAGATGTGGTATACACACACAATGGAATATTACTCAAAGATAAAAAAAGAACGACATCTTGCCATTTGCAATGATGTGGATGGATTTAGAGTGTATTATGCTAAGAGAAATAAGTCACAGGAAGACAGACAGGTGATTTTACTCATGTGTGTAATTTAACAAACAAAAACAGATGGACATATGGAAGTGAAAACAAGAGAGAGGGAAACAAACCATAAGAGACTGTTAATGACAGGGAACAAACTGAGGGTTGGTGGGGGGGGGGAGGGGCAAAATGGGGGATGGGCATTAAGGGGGACACTTGTTATGATGAGAACTTGTTATAGGTATGTGATGAATAACTAAACTCTACTCCTGAAACCAATATATCGCACCGTATGAAACTGGAATTTAAAAAAAAAATTAAAAGAAAATCCTTCTGAATTCCTAATCACCCTTAGGATATAGCTCAGGCTTCTCAGCTTAATGTTCAATGCTTTTAAATCCAATGCCATTAGATCAGCCGCTGTTGATGCCTTCAGTCTTCATTCCTCATGCAAACCTCAGCCATACAGAGTCAGATGAAGCTCTTCTGGGTACTCGACATCTCTTCGTGACTCTGCACCCAAGCCACTAGCTCTGCCTTTCCTTCCATTTCCTCATGGCTTCAGTCCCTCAGGAAACCTTTTCTGACACTGGGTTATGCAGTTTCCTCTGTCCTATGGACTACCCATCACACCAATTTTCACAGTATATTAAAACATGCACCTGTCTGATGAGTACAGCTGAACACCTGGAAAGTCTCTGGGGATACTTGTGGAGTGACAGTAGGAGGGCTAGCATGTATGGGGTGCTTGTGATAGGTCAAGCACTGTGCCTCATGCTGTTATTATTGTTATTCGCTTAATTTTCACATTAGCCTGTGATGCATTATAATTATTTTCACTGGACAGATGGGATAACTGACTCAAGACGTTGAGTCACTTGGGAGAGGTTCCACATCTAATTCGTGACAGATCTGGGGTTCAAATCTGGATAGCCTGACTCTGTAGTTCATGCTTTTCTTATAGCCATGAGGTTTTGCCTCCCAAATGCATATATTCAGGATAGGGGCAGGAACGGGGCTAGAGGAGATGGTCTCATCTCTTTAAACTCCCCCCCCCCACCCTTTTTGACTCCCAGAGCCTTCCAGGAATATCACCATCTTTCCAAAGGGGTCAGACTCTCCAATTGGTGAGTAACGGGTCCTCCCTGGACCCTCCCCATTCCCATGTCTTCCCCTAAAGCTGACTGCTTTTCCTGTATGAAAGCTAAGGCTCTATGATCTTGGGTCCTGGTGGGTAAAATATTAAGGGTAAATATCAGCACTTGGAACTCAGAATTGATCATTAACATCGGGGGGGGGGGCAGGTTGAGATTTTCTAGAGGATCAGAGAAGGATAAATTCCATCCATCTACCCCTTGTAACAATTCCCTTCTTCTACCCCTTGTAACAATCTTTTCTTCTGCAATTAGCCAAATAACCAGAGAGCGACTGTGTGTGGGGAGGGCAAGTATGGGAAGAAGTGATGTTTAGAGAATAAGTATCCAGCCTTGGTGAGGAGGGGAGGGGGCCTCTAGTAAGGAGACTGGCATTGTAGGTAGCAGAGAATAATAGGATCTTAGATGAGGGTTATGGCTACGAGGAACACAAGATGTCCCTTGAAGCGGGTCCTGAAGAGGGGCTTTTATCACCTGCTCTAATCTCTCCTCTCTCCTCCAGGTCTTGCCCGGCAGCACTACACCAAGGGCAATCTGGTCCGGATATGCCTCGGGGCTGTGATCCTAATACTCTTGGTGGGGTTTCTGGCAGAAGACTGGCACAGCCGAAAGAAACCCCTGCTGCACTTGGTCAGAGCTGTCCACAGGCCACTCCCACCCCTTCCGCAAACCCAGAAGCCACACAGTTGGCAGGACAAGGGTCGACCAGATGGCTATACCCATGGGTGCCACAACTAGGACCCCAAGGCTTGGCTCTGTCTGTGAGACGGGGATTGTGGAGACCGTGTGTGGAACGTAAGATCAAGAGGGTAGGGGCTGTGGAGAAGGAGGGCCATGGGGCCCCTCCTTGGTGCCCCATGAAAGAGCTGTTGAGCCAGCATCTATGGCTTTCTGAGGACTCCCTTCACCAGGGATTAGGGGTATCTAGAGGATGCTACCACCTCCTTGCTCCTATCTGGCACATTGTGGATCTAACGGGACCACCACACTGACCTTTTCCTTCAACCTTTTCTGATACATGTTCTGGATTGACCTCCAATGTCCTCAACACTCACAGCTGACCTTGTTCTATCCTCTGCACAAAACCCTCCCACACTTCCCCATTAGCCCCTGTGCTTTCTCCACATATCCACGAATATAAACCTATAGCTCAGATGGTTAATTCAGACTAGTACTCATTTCCTGAGCCCAGCAGCCTAGCTTCTCTCCTAACCAGAAACATCTGGTCACATGTGTGAGCACTCAGGTCTTGCCCCACCATACCCATGCCTTCCCACCCTGAGATGTCCTTCTCTTTGGTCCCAAATGCCATTTCCTTGGACCTGGTCTCTGGATTCATCAATTTATGGTCACATCCTCCTCCTATCTTGCTCCATAGTTAATAACCACACTCACAGATGGGGCGCCTGGGTGGCTCAGTTGGTTAAGCGTCCAACTTCGGCTCAGGTCATGATCTCACAGCCCATGGGTTTGAGCCCCACAACAGGCTCTGTGCTGACAGCAATCTGCCCCTCTCCCACTCTCTCTCTCTCTGTGTCTCGCACGTGCGCGCGTGCACACACACACTCTCTCTAAAATAAATAAAAATACTAAAAATAATTAAAAAAAATTTTTTTTTCAACGTTTATTTATTTTTGGGACAGGGAGAGACAGAGCATGAATGGGCGAGGGGCAGAGAGAGAGAGGGAGACACAGAATCGGAAACAGGCTCCAGGCTCCGAGCCATCAGCCCAGAGCCCGACGCGGGGCTCGAACTCACGGACCGCGAGATCGTGACCTGGCTGAAGTTGGACGCTTAACCGACTGCGCCACCCAGGCGCCCCAATGTGGTGTTGAAAAAATAATTAAAAAAAAAAACAACCACACTCACAGAATCTCTAACTCACAGGAGGAATGGGCAGAGCATCTGTCCCTAAATTAATGTACACAGGCTACTCAGTTTCTTTTCCCTTAAAGGGGGGTTGGCTAGATTACAGTGGATGTCAACCTTGGGACATCTTGCACAGCATCTGAAGATATTTGGAGGCAAGGGGAAATGCTGGTATTTAACGGGTAGAGAGTAGAGATGCTTCTCTTTCTCTCTCTTAACAGAACATACTCTTGGTGAAAGACACACTTAAGATAACAAAGGATTATCTGGTCCCAAGTGTCAATAGCGCAGATCTTGAGGAACTCTTGGCTAGCAGACACTGAGGTTCCTTCCTAGCTTTTAAAGAATAGTATGCCTCTATTTCTTCTTCTTTTTTTAAAGCATTTTAGAAAAAATGTTTATTTTTGAGAGAAAGTACGAGCAGGGGAAAGGCAGAGAGAAAGGGAGACACAGAATTGGAAGCAGGCTCCAGGCTCTGAGCTATCAGTGCAGAGCCTGATGCGGGGCTCAAACTCCTGAACCGTAAGATCATGACCTGAGCTGAAGTCAGACACTTAACTGACTGAGCCGTACAGGCGCCCCTCTATTTCTTCTTTTAACAACCCCATCTGCTCCTACTAAAGGCACTCACGAAACCTCAGACCCTGAGAATGAAGATGCTCTAGGAAAAACCTACATCCAGCTGAACAAGAGGCCTTGAGACAGAAACAGAAGGAAGGAAACCTGTGGGAAAGTCCAGGAACCCACACTGTATGCAGTGACATCAGAGAGATGATACACAAGCACGTTCAAGGGCGGTTTGAAGGGGACATCTGGGAACGTGGTGTATTTGGTGAGAATGATGAACCGATGAACCCCGGGGATGAAACAGGAAAGTAGGATGACTGAAAGAGTAATTGACAAATTAGCACTTAATAAAAAAGTGATTCTTAACAATTAATTGCCTTAAGGAATTTTGGGATTCTGTAGGTCACAATGAAATAAGGAGGGCTAGATGGGGAAGGGCTACGCACACCATGAACTTATGTTTTCTGTAAGGGGGGAATTATTAAAAAGTTAATAACAGCAATGATGTGATCATATATGCGCTTCATTGAAGTGCTTAAGAATGCTACAAAATATCGTAGGATTTGTAGGAGAAATACTCTTGATGAGGAAGACCTATAGACAGCTATCCACGCAGGTCAAGAAATGTCAGAGCTAGGCAGTGACTGGCAAAGTGAACGGACTGATGGGATCACAAACATGTCTGTCCCCTTTCCCTGCTGGGTTAGGTTCTTCCCAAATTAAGTATCTTGTGTCTAAGTTTGGTCGGAATCCATTAATAAACATAACCTCCTTCATGAATGCTTTCACCTTTATTTCTCTTGATAGACTCGAGATATAGACATTCCACCCGTAACAGGGGTAAGTCACTTGTGTGTGCTTTATGGAAGCCAAAGGCACCCCCCCCAAGGCTAAAAGAACATCTGGCCCCATACCTAACATCACTGAGAGGGCTCAGAGGAAGTTCCCCCATCACCTTGACAACCTCAGACTTTACTGGAGAACCAAGAACTCCAGGGGATTCAGAAAATGAAGTCATGTGAAGAAGGTCGGTTATTGTTTGGATCTTGCTTATCACTCTCAATGGTCAGTTGTGGGTCACTTTCTTGGACTTCTTTCAGCAGCTTCTGGATTCGAGGATCAGATTCATCTATCCTCAACCTGGAGGTGCAGCAGGAGTGAAAAGAAGGTTTCTTGTTGTTTCAAGGAGGCTAATCCCAAATGCCCAAGAGCCTGCAAGTGTCATGCTTTAGAAGAGAGGCAGTCTTGGGGCGCCTGGGTGGCGCAGTCGGTTAAGCGTCCGACTTCAGCCAGGTCACGATCTCGCGGTCCGTGAGTTCGAGCCCCGCGTCGGGCTCTGGGCTGATGGCTCAGAGCCTGGAGCCTGTTTCCGATTCTGTGTCTCCCTCTCTCTCTGCCCCTCCCCCGTTCATGCTCTGTCTCTCTCTATCCCAAAAATAAAAATAAACGTTGAAAAAAAAATTTAAGAAGAGAGGCAGTCTTTATTGATTATTCTGTGCCGCAAAGTAGGGATCCATATTGATTTGATAGGGAACAAGAGATAATTCCAGGTTAACACCGTAATGGCTTTAAGATGCCTGCATGATCTCAGACGATTCTCATATTATTCTTGGAGAGACAGAACTAAATCACAGACATTTCCATCAATTCCAACACCTACCTACTCCACAGCTCATGTTGGCAACTTCTATTTGGTGGACCCAGGACGAGACATACACACTTGAACCAAGTCAGTCAGACCAGACTTGCGTCTCCTTTGACATGACATTAGCTGATCACCACCTTTATTTGACCTGTGATAATAGCAGCCTCATTTGTAGGATTCACCTTTCGGTAACCAGATTCATTCACGGGCATGGGGAATGGGGTGGGGGAAAGGGAATAATTAAAGCAAAAATATGTATAAAAGTAAGAGACTGAAGATATTAGCTGCCATGTTTCTTGTTGGCATTGTAGTCCTGGTTTTCTTAGTGTATGTGTGTGTGTGTGTGTGTGTGTGTGTGTGTGTGTATACAGGACTACAATGCCAAAAAGAAACATATATGTATTTTAAGTAATCTCTATACCCAATGTGGGGCTTGAGCTCATGTCCCAAGATCAAGAGTCATATGCTCTACTGACTGAGCCAGGCAGAAACCCTTGGTTTTGTTGGCTTATTAACCAATTTTTTTGTTTTGCTGTTTAAGGGTCACAACACAATCACACAACAAGGCTTGAGTTTTATGTTCTGGAGATCTAATGTACAGCTTGGTGACAGTAATACTGTATTGGGTACCTGAAATTTGCTATGATAGTAGATCTTAGGTGTTCTCACCACACACACACACACACACACACACACACACACACACACACACACAAAGGTAAAACTCTATGAGGTGATGGATGTGTTAATCAGCTTGATGATGGTGATGATTTCACAATGTTTTTGTATATCAAAATCACAATCAATATAACTTTGGCTAAAGTAAGGGCCAAAATGTCCATCGATGGTGAATGGATAAAAAAGATGTGGTGTATGTATGTGTGTGTGTGTGTGTGGGTATACATGTACACACATACACACATATATATATATGTATACATATATATACATATATACACATATATACATACATATATACACACACACACACACACAATGGAGTATTAGTAATCAAAAAGAATGAAATCGTGCCATTTGCAACTATGTGGATGGAACCAGAGGGTATCATGCTAAGTGAAATTAGTCAGAGAAAGACAACTATCATATGATTTCACTCATATGAGAATTTTAAGACACAAAACAGATGAACATAGGGGAAGGGAAGCAAAAATAATATAAAAACAGGGAGGGGGACAAAACATAAGAGACTCTTAAAAACGGAGAACAAACAAAGGGTTACTGGAAGGATTTCAGAAGCAGGGGTGGGCTAAATAAGTAAGGGGCATTAAGGAATTTACTCCTGAAATCATTGTTGCACTATACGGTAACTAACTTCAACGTAAATTAAAAAAAATAAATTAAAAAAATATTTTCAACATGACCCTCCAAGGTCAAATGTAGTTGTGTCTATTCGTGAGTGTAGGAGGTTGGTCATGGTCTGCAGTTGAAGGACAGAAAAAGTTCCCACAGTCGACCTGTGTCTGGTCAAAAGTGTTGAAGGAATCAGAAACAGGGCGTGAGCCACAGCGGCATATATAAAGGTGTTGCTCTAAGAATGAGGTGTGATGACAGGGCCTCTTTGTCTCTAAGCCAAAGAAAAGGATTCCAGTTAAGTTAAAAGAGCATCTCAGAAGGATACGAGGTAGCTGATAAAGTCAAAGAACCAAAAGCCAAGTTCTGAACCTGGGGTCTCTGTGCCTGTCTAGGGTCTGTCACTGAACAAGAAGCCCCCATCTTGAATTGCTCCCCTTGAGATTCACAGACTCAGGAGAGCATGTCTGACTGGGTGGTCTCAAGAAACAGCTCAATGTCTTTGTGGGGGGCTTTACACTTTGATTAGAACTCACTGATACATAAAATGGGAGCTATCTCGCCAGAAAAGGGCTAAAAACAGAAACAAACTTCAGACTCTACTCATTGCTTCTTTCGACTAGCAAGCGACCTGAGAGTCACATTAAGTAAATATTTCATCAGTTTCTCCTACATAATTATCATTTCGAGCCATCAGCTGTCTATGTTGCATCTGAGAATTTAAAGTTCCGCACGTCTGGGGGCGCCTGAGTGGCTCTGTCAGTTGAGTGTCTGACTTGGGCTCAGGTCATGATCTCACAGTTCGTGGATTCCAGCCCCATGTCGGGCTCTGTGCTGACAGCTCAGAGCCCGGAGTCTGCTTTGGAACCTGTGTCTCCTTCTCTCTCTCTGCCCCTCCCCTGCTTGCACTCTGTCTCTCTCTCTCTCTCAAAAATAAACTAAAAGAAAATATTAAAGTTCCCACGCACCTAAGAATAAAGAGTTGTAGGGTTCTTTGTTGCCATGGGAGCAAGTGAACGGCACAACTCAGGGACAGCTTGCTTCGATGACCAACAGAAGACAGAGACTCATTTCGTTCAATGGCGGACTCACAGCAGAGATCGTGCTCCTAAGGCGGACCCACTGCCAGACCTCTGTAACCAACACAAACTCAAGAAACCACACGAGAGTCTGATCTTCCTCACTCAACAACAGACGGCCACCATGCCTGTCCCTCACTCAGAGGAGTCCCCAGAGCCAGCTTCCCGGCGTCAGACTGAGTTTGAGTCTCACCTTTGACTCATCTTCCTCTCCAGAGCAACAGAAGGGGCCGCGGGAGAATTATCTGGCGACTAAACGTCACTGGATAAAAGCTGAATGTTAGCGACTCACACGTCCCTGTGGTTTGCGCATCCCCCTGCACACCGGCTATCCCGGAGGAGACACCCTAAGGAGCAGAAGGATCATACCGGGGTGTCCGGAGGGAGGAATTCTGCAGTTTCGAGGTATCACACAGCATCTTCACTCCGCTACATCCCAAGGAATTGTGGCCTAGGTCCAGACTGATCAGGCTCCGCTTGTTGCCAAGGGCAGATGCGAGAATCTCACAGCTGAAAGCGGTGACGGCACATCCCCACAACCTGCAGGGGAGACACAAAAATTAGTTCATGCATTCAAGCAGTGTTTACGGAAACCATCCTACGTGCCAGGCACACTCTTGAGTGTTGGGGGTCCAACAGGAAACTACAGAAATCTCTTCCCTCCGAGCTCATACTAATAGGAAACAGATGTATGTAGTGTGCCATATCTGATAAGGGTTATGAAGGGCAAAGGGTAAAGGGAGAAGCTGGGGAGGGCACTCACTACAATGGCTGAAGAGAACAAACCTTAGAGAGATCTGGAGTGGGGGCTCCCCCAAGCAGAGAAATAGCTTGTGCAAAGGCTATGAGGTCATGTATCATTATCATGTAAAACAATACCAAGGCAGCCAGATTCAATAGCAAATCAAGAGAGTGAATCAGGCAGGGTTGTAAGAGACGAAGCCACAGATAACGGGGAGCCGTCTCACAAAGGGCCCTTAGGCCATTGTAAACTTCAGATTTTACTTGGAATGAGATGGGGAACCACCAGGGCTTTTGAGAAGAAGCATCATGGGCGTTACATCTTACAAGTTATTCTTAGTGCTTGGCTAGAAAAACTAGCGGCACTGAGAGGGCAGAATACAGACTAGGTTGAAGGCTAGACAACAACCCACATGTTATAAGTATGTGTGTGGGGTATGAGAACAGATTCTAGATATCTGGAAGAGGGTAGCAGGATTAAAACAATGTTTACTTATTTTGAGAGAGAGAGACAGAGACAGAGAGAGGAGAGGAGAGGAGAGGAGAGGAGAGGACAGGACAGAGAGAGAAGAGGAGAGGAGAGGGGTTGGGGTGGATGGAGAGAGAATCCCAAGCAGGCTCTGTACTGCCAGCACAGAGCCCAATCCAGGGCTTGATCTCCTGAACTGCAAGATCGTGACCTGAGCTGAAATCAAGATCAGATGCTTAATGACTGAGCCACTCAGGGACCCCAGATAGCAAGATTTTAAAAAGGCTTGGATTTGACATGTCTCTGGAGGCAAGGGAAATAAAAGCAAAAATGAACTACTGGGACCTCATCAAGATAAAAAGCTTATGCACAGCAAAGGAAACAATCAACAAAACTAAAGGGCAACCGACAGAATGGGAGAAGAAATTCTCAAATGACCTATCTGATAAAGGGTTAGTATCCAAAATCTGTAAGGAACTTACCAAACTCAACACCCAAAAAACAAATAATCCAGTGAAGAAATAGGCACAAGACA